AGGATGTATGGTGGTAAGCCAATGTTATCTCATCTAAGAGTGTTAGGCTGTTTATGTTATTATAAAGTTCTCACTAAAAGTGATAAACTAACATCAAGATCTAAGGCTGCTGCCCATATGGGGTATTCAGAAACTCAAAAGGGTTATATTTTATTAGATTTGACATCCAATAGTTTCTTTGTGAGTAGGGATGTGATGTTCAGAAAATCAATGTTTACATTCATGACTTTCTCAACTAACAAGAAGGGAGGTCCATTTGTTAATAGCATGGGTGATGATATGCTAAATGTAGAATGAGAGTCAGTCTGTGACAAAATGAGTAACGAAAAGAAGGGTCATCAGAAGTGTTTACATGACACACACTGTGATCAAGAAAGTTACAGAAGTTTGACTGATAACAATGAACAAGATGTAGTACAAATAGTAGTACAATGACAAGATGCAGAAGTTTATGAGTCTTTGACAAATGATACTCAACCTAGAAGGTCTACAAGAGGAGTTCATACACCAGTATGGATGAAAGACTTTGTCTCTTAATATGGGAAAACAGGTACATTATCTTATAGCTGAGTGTGTAACATATAAACATTTATTTAAACCTTATCAAGAGTTTGTTGCTGCAACTTCTGCTCTAACTGAACCTGCTACTTTTGCTGAGGCAAGTAAAGAACCAAAGTGGATCGAAGTAATGCAAGTTGAAATACAAGCCTTACAAGTTAACAACACTTGGAAATTAGTTGAGTTACCTAAAGGGAAGTCTACTATTAGATGTAGATGGATTTATAAGATTAAATACAAGTCTAATTGAGAAGTAGAAAGGTTCAAGGCAAGGTTAGTAGTCAAGGGGTATAGTCAAAATGAGGGTATAGATTATAAGGAAACCTTTTCTCCTGTGGTAAAAATGGTCACAGTAAGTACCATACTAGTCTTAGTTGTATTCAAGGGTTGGCATATCCATCAAATTGATGTATATAATGCATTTCTAAATGGTGATTTAAATGATGAAATTTATATGACTGTACCTCAGGGTTTTTCCAGTCAGGGGGAGAATAAGAACAAGGTATGCAGACTGGAAAAATCATTGTATGGGCTTAAACAAGCACCAAGACAATGGAATCATAAGTTGCAGAGGTTCTTCAGGACCTGGGATTCAATCAAAGTCAATATGATCATTATTTGTTTACAAGAAGGATAACTGAAGGAACTACAATAATTTTGATGTATGTTGATGATATTTTAGTAAGAGGAAGTAGTTTAAAGCTGGTGGAGCAGACAAAAAATCCTTACAACAAAGTTTTAAAATGAAGGATCTAGGAGAGTTGAAATACTTTCTTGGAATAGAATTTGTAAGGTCAAATAGTGGAGTTGTTATGCATCAAAGGAAATATGCACTTCAACTCATTTCTGAAATTGGATTGTCAGGAGCAAAGCCAGCTGATGATCAAACGGGAAAGAATCAAGAGGAACCTCTAACAAATCAAAGTTCTTATCAGAAATTGATTGGGAAACTGTTATATCTAAACATGACAAGGCCTGACATTTCCTATAGTATGCAAACTTTGAGTCAGTTTCTACATCAACCTAAAAAGTCTCATATGGATGTTGCACTTAGAGTGGTGAAATATATTAAGAGACAGCCAGGACAATGTATATTGCTATCTAGTAAGTGTGGTACTGAGATTACAACCTATTATGATGCAGATTGGGCAGCATGCCCTCTTACAAGGAAATTTGTGACTGACTATGTAATTAAGCTTGGAGAATCAGTGATCTCTTGAAAGGCTAAGAAACAAACCATTGGATCAAGGAGCTCAGCTGAAGCTGAGTATAGAAGCTTAGTTTCTACTATAGCAGAGTTAGTTTGGTTAGTATGGATGTTGAAAGACTTAAAGGCTGAGGTTTATTTACCAGTTCAAGTATATAGTGACAGCAAGTCTGCTGTTCAGTTAGCTTCTAATCCAGTTTATCGTGAACGTACTAAACACATTGAGATTGATTGTCATTTCATCAGGAAAGACTGGTTAAGATAGTTTATATTTCAACACAAAATCAGCCTGCTGATCTTTTGACAAAAGGTCTCAACAAGCCACAACATGACTATCTATTGTCCAAGCTAGGGTCTTCAACATATTTGCACCACCTAGCTTGAGGGGGTGTATTGAGAGAGTGGAAAAAAAGAAGTGTGTTGAAATAAAAGAAGGGGAAGATCAAAAGTGAAGGTTGTTCAAGAAGTTAGTTACATAGTTAGGTTAGTTAGTTATTCAAAAGAAGGTGTATAAATACATAGCTTAAGTCATTGTAATATTCATTCAAGAATAATATACAAATCTTCATCTTCTCCAATTCTATTGTTTTCTCTTTTCATAAAAATCTTTAACTTATGTAGTTGCTCAAATAACGTTTTATTAGTCTTTTAAGAGTTTGTTTTATCTCCAGCACATGTGTTGCAAATTTTTAGTTTCTTATCAACTCTGTGTCGACTTATGTAGTTGCTCAAATAACATTTTATTAGTACATATCAATGATAGCACTACCAATGGAATCCCAATTCTCTAACATATTCATCAAGACATAAGCGTGACATTGTTTTCCTAAGAAAACATGAGCCATCTCTGTAGAAGCTGATATAGAAGACAACAAAGTTACTCTATCCGGACGAGGTCCTCCATAGGATAGCGTTTCCCCCAAGACCTCGAGTGCTTCCCTTGCCATCCCATTCCGTACATAGTTTGATAAAATTTTGTTGTAAAAGTACCAAATTACGATCAACACATTCCTCAAAAAGCCTTTTTGCCTTATCCATAGATCCACATTTCATATACATATCTATAAGAGCATTTACCATAACACTATTAACCTTCAATCCCGTCTTCCCAATATAACAACACACTCTTTCCGCCAATCCCAAATCCCCCAACTCTGCACAAGCCAATATCACGCACACCATTGTCACAAAATTCGGCATAACACCCTCCTCAATCATCTCGAAAAACAAAGCAACTACCTCTTCAGCCTTCTCACTCTTGGCATACCCGCAAATCAAACAAGTCTAAGACACTAAATTTCTCTCAGACATTTTATCAAACACTTTCCTGGCTTTACTCACCTCACCACATTCACCATACAAATGTATCACTGAATTCAAAACAAACACATCATCACCAAAACCCCATTTCAAAGCCAAACCCATAACTTGAATTCCTGTAGAAAACCTATCATCCTTCGCACAAGCACTCAAAATCAAAGGAAAAGTATACCCATCAGGCTCCACACATTCAATAACCATTCTTGCATAAATCAATACAGCTTCATAAAACAAACCCGCTAAAGAATACCCTTTAATCAAAGAATTGAACTTGTATGTATTATCATAACCTTCTTCATTACTACTACAGAAACTGTCAAAAGTTATTTGTGCATATTCCATGCTATTATAGGAACCAAATTCGGAGCATTTAGCAATGAGTTTACCGAGAAAACCAGGGTCTTGATTAAACCCTGTTTTGTGAAATGGGCGTGTAGTTGTTTGATTTCGTTGAGATTTTTGCAGGATTTTATTAAGTCAGTTATTGTTGATATTCGATTCGATTGAGTTTGTGTAGTAGAGAGAAGTGGAGAAAAAGATAGATTAAGGGTTGCTGCCATTGCTATTTGAGGTGTTTATTCAACTTTTCAAGAACTTACAATTGACACCTGTTAAAGGATGACAAAAGTCCCACATCGGTGGTAAATGAGATAGTGGGCTCCTTATAAGGCTTGGGCAATTCTCCTCCCTTTGAGCTAGCTTTTGGGGTGTGAGTTAGGTCCAAGACCTAATTTAACATAGTATCAGAGCAGCGCCTGTCTCACCCGATGTTGGGGACCCCAAAATTAAAATTGCCCACGCACCAGATGCTAAGCACTGGGTGTGAGGTGTGGTGTTAAAGAATGACAAAAGTCCTACATCGGTGGGTAATGAGATGGGTGAACTCCTTATAAGGCTTGAACAATCCTCCTCCCTTTGAGCTAGCTTTTGGGGTGTGAGTTAGACTCAAGACTTAATTTAAAACCATCATGCTAATGAACTCCATTGATGAGAACTACCACATTTAACCAGCCAAGATATAAATCTTTTATGTCCTTTATTTTTATTTTTTTATGGTTGTTAAATGGAATACAATAGATTATACTGTTCTCTATCCGAACAATTATAATTTGAATGACAAATCTATTATAAAATAATATACCGAATAGAGCTGCATGAGATGATAAAGTAATTTTTATTTTTTTATGGTTGTTAAATGGAATACAATAGATCATATTGTTCTCTGTCCAGACATTCATAATTTGAATGATAAATCCATCATAAAAATAATATACCGAATAGAGCTACATGATATGATAAAGTAAAAAATGAAATATAATTGTTATATAAAATATTAAGGTAACGATGTGATTACACCAAGTCAATTGTTTACCTGAAATGAGACTTCCCGTGTTACCTAATGATGGATTTAAATGACACAATACAATATAATTTAAGTATCAATAAAAAACGAATATGATATTTGAACTAATGATACAATACAATAGAATGGATAACAACCATCCAAACAAGGTGTAAGAGGGAGTTTGCACTTTGTCCATAAAATTTTTACAGTTTTTTCAGAGTTCAATTCCAAAAATTATGTTTAACCAAAAGAATTTGAAAAAGTTTCATCCACCTTTTTCACTTTAAATTACTTGTAAACATTCCAAGACAACTCTAATATATTAATTTCTAGTGTTTATCTAGCTATGTAAAATTATAAAGTTAAAGTGAAATCATTGGTACAATATTTTAAAAAAAAGATATCATTCTATTTGAAACGGACTAAAATAAACAGTCATGTTAATTGGAACGCAAAAAGTACCATGTATGAGAATTGTAAAACTATATTACATTATCACCATTGTTCTGAGAAACAACATAGTATAAAACAAATCATTTTAGTTCCATAACTCTTTTAACATATTTGCCCCAAAAACTCAGTTTAAACCCTATGAGACCTGAGGGAGAGAACCTTGGAAATAGCTCTAACGGTATTTGGGGTAGTCCTGCAGCAACCTCCGACGAGAGACGCCCCAGCCTCGCACCACTTGTCCACATATGACACGAAATCTTCCTCTGCGACGCCCCTTGAAGCCTACAATGATATATAAGCGTTCATTAGATGCTTTTTAAGAATGCCAATTAAGTTTCCTAAGTAAATTGCTCTCTATTGTTCAATCATTTGATAGTCGTACATGTTATAAAAACAAGAAAGGTTATATATAGTATATTGAAAAGACTTACCACCCATTCCTTCTTTTCGCCATCATAAGTCTCACCGCTGTTGGGATATACAAGTATTGGTTTGCTTGTTACCTGCATATCATTTGGCCATGGAAGCAATTAACATTTCGGAGTTTCAAGATAAATCTTGGTACATGACGGCACGCTTCTTTTACATATCAATTTCACAAACCAAAGAAGTAATTATACCTTTCGGATTGATTGGATCAGCCCCTCAATGTATCTTGGAGAGGTACAATTGATTCCAATTCCAACAACTTGCTTACACGAATCAACAATTGAAGCACATTCTGCAATGGAATCGCCACTGGCTACATTGGTACCATCTTTAGAACTGAAGGAAAACCACGCAGGAATGCTGACAGCCTCTTCCTCAAGAAGCTCAGCATAAGCCTATATGAAACAAAAAATGAAGTTAAGCACACAACTATTCGACTTGGAGGAAAATGAACACAGAGTATATAAGATATAAGATATCGTAAAAGATCAAGAAAGTAAATACCTGAGCTTCGATTTTGTTTGGAGTTGTCTCGAATGCAATCAAATCAGCACCTGAATTCGCAAGAACCTGAACTCTCCTTCGATGAAAATCTTTCAGAGTTTTCACAGTAATTGCATCACCATAAATTCCACTGCAAACCACGAAGGGCAGAGTAGTCAATTTCACATATATTAAGTTAATAATCAAAATACACCTCGACTGTTATGCTAAGACGTTGAACATTAACTCACTTATATTCAGAACCATCAGCCAAATAAGCTCCGTAACTTCCCACAGACGCTGCAACCAAGACTGGATTGCGTTTCAAACCGGTTTCATCATCAAAATCATCCCAAGAACCTTTGGAAGCTCTGTCGTTATATATGTTTCGCGCTTCACATGCTATCTCCACGCTTCTTTTGAGCAATGCTTCACCTTCTTCCCTTGAAATTCCCTTGGCTTCAAATCCTTGAAGGGTTGCCTGTCTCATGCAAATGAAAGTGAAACAACTAATGTGAGCATTACTAGTCATCTAATTAGCCAAAGAGCAATAAAAGGAAATACATAAGTTCATTTGCAAACCTGATAAGATGAAGAGATTATAATGTTGGCACCAGCTTCCAAGTAATCTAGATGCACCTATTACATAAAACAGAATATCAATCATATTTTTTTTTAAATCTTTGTCATTCATGTTAGTCCGTTAGCTTGTCCTCCTCCTTAATGGCTACGGTTTACAAGAGAAAAACATACTCTGAATCTCCTAAAGGATATCTCCTAAATTGACATACCAAATCAAATAGGCCAAGCAATTACCTTGTGTTTCTGTTAGTTTGGTTATGTCAATACATCTCAAGCAAAGACGAAATTATAGAATTTATTTAAATTTGATAGAATTAGCACTACATTCACTATACTTTTTGAAATTTATGATTTATAAGGTTTAATATTTTATTAAAATATCAGTAATCTTTTATGTACACATGTTCCATGTTCTAGGGGTGCCAGGGCGGACGTAGAGCGGATGATAATAATAAGAATTCGATAGAATTTAATAGCTTTACGTCAGTATATAACTTGTTGTAACTTGTAGATGTGTTACATTTGTATGTAGACTTAGATGTGTCAGCATAATAACTGAAACAAAATGATGAGGTGTCAAAGATAAAGTCAGCCACGTTGTTGATATCAAAGTAAAGTATTGTAACACCTCACATGTTCCACAGAAACTAACATTAAATAAATTAAAACAGCAAGCATATAACAGATCGAAACTTCCACATAAATACAAATAAAGGAGTAAATTTTTTTACTAACGAAAAATAAAACATAAAATATTTAAATATTACAAGAAATTAACGAATGGTATATATTTAAGATAGTATAATTTTTTAATAAAGAATGAATAATGGACACCTCTTTGACAAGAATGACTCTGTCAGTCTAACATAACAGCTCGAAACTTCCACATAAATACAAATAGAGTAAATTTTTTTTACTAACGAGAAATAAAACATAAAATATTTAAATATTACGAGAAATTAACGAACGGTATATATTTAAGATAGTATAATTTTTTAATAAAGAATGAATAATGGACACCTTTTTGACAAGAATGACTCTGTCAGTCTAACATAACAGCTCGAAACTTCCACATAAATACAAATAGAGTAAATTTTTTTACTAACGAGAAATAAAACATAAAATATTTAAATATTACAAAGAAATTAACGAACGATATATATTTAAGATAGTATAATTTTTTAATAAAGAATGATTAATGGACACCTCTTTGACAAGAATGACTATGTCAGTCTAACATAACAACTCGAAACTTCCACATAAATACAAATAAAGGAGTAAATTTTTTTACTAACGAGAAATAAAACATAAAATATTTAAATATTATGAAGAAATTAACGAACGGTATATATTTAAGATAGTATAATTTTTTAATAAAGAATGATTAATGGATACCTCTTTGACAAGAATGACTCTGTCACTGTCTAACGTAACAGCTCGAAACTTCCACATAAATACAAATAAAGGAGTAAATTTTTTTACTAACGACAAATAAAACATAAAATATTTAAATATTACGAAGAAATTAACGAACGGTATATATTTAAGATAGTATAATTTTTTAATAAAGAATGATTAACGGATACCTCTTTAACAAGAATGATTTTGTCGCTGTCTAACATAACAGCTCGAAACTTCCACATAAATACAAATAAAGGAGTAAAAATTTTTACAAATGAGAAATAAAACATAAAATATTTAAATATTACGAAGAAATTAACGAACGGTATATATTTAAGATAGTATAATTTTTTAATAAAGAATGATTAATGGATATCTTTTTCACAAGAATGACTCTGTCACTGTCTAACATAACAGCTCGAAACTTCCACATAAATACAAATAAAGGAGTAAATTTTTTTACTAACGAGAAATAAAACATAAAATATATAAATATTACGAAGAAATTAACGAGCAATGTATATTTAAGATAGTATAATTTTTAATAAAGAATGATTAATGGACACCTCTTTGACAAGAATGACTCTGTTACTGTCTAACATGATGAAAATGATAGCTTTACATATTTTAGTTCTTTAGTTAGTTTTTTAAATTCCAATTATGACTTTTTTAAGAAAATCAAGAAGAAGATAAGAGGTAATAATAATATATATTTAAAAAGTTTAAGCTAAGGATGAACATCTCAAGACGATATGAAAAAATTGAACGTACGACACGGAACTAATCTTTATCGCTTCATTTCTTCTTATTTGGACTATTTAGAAGAATTTTTAATTTGTGTGCAGTAAATCAAATTAGTTATAAAAGGACAAATAAAAAATATACTAATTAATAAAAAATAATGTAGAACATTCGAGAAAAGAAATTACAAGCATAAATTAATATGATAATTGAAACACAATAAATTAACAACAAATGATATATAACATATATCAAAAGTAAGAAATCAATAATAAGAACAAATCATACGATAATTGAAACACAATAAACAATAAATGATAACAAATATTAAAAGCAAAAAACTAATAACAAGAACAAATCAATATGATAATTAAAACACAATAAACAACAGATAATAATAAATATTAAAAGTAAAAAACTAATAACAAGAACAAATAACTGAAACGCAAAAAATAACGAACGATAACAGATATTAAAAGTAAGAAACTAATAACAAGAACAAATTAATATGATAACTGAAACACAATAAATAACGATACGTACCCTTCTTATAAGATGAGGAGAGCTAACAAGACATTTGGCACTCCAAAGAGGATCATTTAAGTCAGCACCGTGCCTCTGCAACTCCGTCGCAAGTCCACCGTCTATCACGGCGTAGCCACCGCACTGCCGGAGAAAATCACCCAAAAATGTCGACCCATTTTTCAACCCCATTTTTTTCCTTTTTGTGTTATAATTAATCTCTGCAAAAATATTGACTAAAAATTAATTGAGGGGATTGTGTAGAAATTTAGAAGGAAAGTGAATATATTTATTTTGAAAACTTTGCAGAAGTTGGCAGAAGATTGAAAAAGGAAAATGAGTTTAATGGGGAGTATCTCCAACATATATAGTGTGTATACGGCTACTTCGGTCTCAAATTATTTGTCTTAATTTTTAAATTAAAAATATCTTAGATTACTTGTTATCTTTTCTATATATCCTAATTAATACACTATTTATTCACTTTTACTTATTTAATTTAAAATAAGAATACAGAATAATTTATCGTTTATAATATACATATTTTATTATTATTATTAAATATTATTTATTTTTCAATATTTAGATGATTAACACTTATAATTATAGAAGTGATATAATAAAAATTAAATATAAATAAAAAAGTAATCAATTTTCTTAATTAATATTTCTCTTTAAAAATATATAAAAGAGAAACATAAAAGATAATTTAAAATCATGAGGAGGATAAGAGCCACGAAATTTGTATAATTAATTTAATGTCCTTAAATATTTTAAAATATCACTTTCAATACCCAAAATTTATTTTTAGTAAGATGTTATTAGTTACTACTCCTATTACATATTCTTTTCGTTAATTTGTTTGACATGGTTTAATTATCGTAATTGATTTTTCTTACCAATTAGATCTATCGTAATTGATTTTTCTTACCACTTAGATCTATCTTAATTGGGACGTATATCTTTAATAATTTTGTGAATATCAAGAAGAAATATATCCTTATAAAAATATTACAATATTAATTTGGAAGAGAATAAAAAAAAGTTATGTATAAAAAAAAAACTGCAACCTACTTTCTTAAAAGTTACCTCAACCCAATTAGGATGCAAATCGTTGTGAGCTATCTCTTTCTAAAATTCTATAATTTCTTTCAAATACGTGCACTCATGGCTAAAAATTTGATGAGAAGAAAAAAGAAGAAGATATTTTTAGACTGTGGATAATTTCACAAAAACATCTCCTTAAATAGGCAAGCTATTGGATTTTTTGTTGCAAGAAGAAGATTAAATTCAAGTGGCATGTATCTAGCCATAATTTTATAATGTATCTAGACAATTTCTTTAGTATGCATTTGGACAAATTTTTTTGGTAGGTTAAAATAATATTTTTTGCAAAATCAAATTTGGTTAAGCATTTGCATATATATCTAGCGCACAGGAAGGAAAATCGACCCATTTTGTCTTTGAGTCCATTTCACATGATGTGCCCTTCTTCCTTTCTTTGGTAACTTACCAAAATCTTTCTAATTTACAAAATACACTATACTTTCTAATATTACAAATCTTGTTAAATTTTATGTAATCAAAACGTTCAGATATACTTTATCATAGTGAATTTGCACACATTTGAGATACATAGATAAATTTCGTTCATCTCTCTCTCATCTCGCTCGTCACTCTCATATCAATCGTGTTTTTGATATCACAGATACATGTAGTTTGTATCTAGTATGATTCACATATATCTGGATACATAGACAAATCTCACTCACCTCCCTCTTGTTCTCGCTCGCTTCTCTCCATATTTTAGTATATGTGGTAGCAAGAAAAAAAAACATGTATTGTATTTGACTTGAAATCTGGTATGAAATTATTAATTAGTGAAATAAAATGTAATTATTTCAAATTATAAAGAGACTTAATAAATATGATAAAAATATTTATTTAATTAGATAATTATCCCTTCTTCTTCTTCTTCTTTTTTACATAGAGTTGCCTTACATATAATTTCAGTCTAATTTCGAAATCCCTCCATTTTACTAGTTCCTTACAAGCCAACACATAATTAGCTAATTAATTAGGGAGGAGGAAACTTCTAAGGTCTAACCCACAAAACGTAAATAATTAGTAGAAGCATATTAATGGAATTTGAAACTTAATTGTAAGCCAACACATAATTAGCTAGTCCCAACGCCGTATTAAACAAGAATTAACATGATTAACGTTTTTCAAATAATAAAATAATTAACTTAAATTTCACGCTAATGTTGTATAATTAAACAAATACACTTATCATGGCTTTTTTGTTGGAAAAAACATTTTAAATAAATAAAAGTACATTTAGATTAAGATGCTTTAGTCATAATTTGCGGAGGAAATTGCTTCACGCTATTTCTAAATTATTTTTTAAGTAACACGTTCTATATCTTATCACAAAAATATTTTGGGTATTGACAATTGTATAAATAAAGCATATTCTATGTGTGTGTTCTGCATGTAAGGAAAAATGTTTTCATAAAGAAATTTTTTGGAATATATTCTTTAGGAATAAATCGATTTTTTTAATTTATTTTTGTGTTTGTACGTAAATTTAAAAAATATTATCCTAAATCTTTATGTGTAATCTAAGACAAATATTGTTTGACCGACGGGAGGAAAAACAATTATTTGAACATTTTTAGAGGATTTTCATACGTTTATGTTATTGGAAGGAAAAAATAATAATAATATATACATATATATATATAGTAATGCTCTAAGACATTTTTAATTTCTAAATTCGGTTCTACCACCAACAATTTATTGTACCATATAATATGGGGGAAAATTTACAACTTTTAAAATCTACCCTTCCTCTAAAAAAAATGACAAAACAAACAAATAAAGAAACTTTTTTTTCATCTGGTGTTTTATATTCGTTTTTGGATATTATTTAATCTGGACTCAGATTGTATAAGACCCATAAACAGGTAAATATAGATTTTCTTTATCAAAATTATTAAATTTTATTTTAATTAAAAAATTTATTTCCGCCTCTTTAAAATAAAAAGGCAGAATTTAAGAATAAGGACTTAGAAGTATGGTGGTTGCAATTGAATAACTTTCAACTACTTTATAAAAATAGAATTGATATCTTATGGTTTTTATTATCTGATAAAGGTCAATTTAATTTAAAAAATCGTTAGATATTTGGAAGGAACAATTTGCATAACAAAATGTCAAATTGCGTGCAAGAGTCCTATAGAATAATCCTTCTGTATGACAGGGTAGAAATTAGAATGACAGAGAAAATGAAAGCAGATGGTGTACGAAGCATTACGCATTTATGTTCGATATAATAATAAGTTTTTTTTATATATTTATTCGATAATAAATAAGGTGTCTTGGTCAAAAGTAATATGGTGAATTTGGTGGATGAAGTATCATGTATTTACGCAGAATATAATAATAAGTTATTCTTTCTTACTTTTATTCGATAATAAATAAGGTGTTTAGCCAAAAGCAACATGGTGGATGAAGCATCATGCATTCACATCGACAAAAACAACAATTTTTCTTTTTTACAATTAGTCGATAATAAATAAAGTGCCTTGTCAAATTGAGTCCACTGCATTATGCATTCACGTAGATTAAAATAACAGTTTTTTCTTTTTTACATCTATTCGATAATAAATAAGGTGTCTTGTCAAATTGAGTCCATCGTGACAATACATGTATAGATTAACTTTTTTTCAACAAAAATCAGGCTGATAAGAAAAAATCATTTATCACTTCTTTTTTCTCTCAAGTGAGACTCAAAACCTGATTTGTCATGACTTTCATCACACTCTATTGACAACTTGGTCATCATAACCTTGAATGTAATTTTTGGGTTTTACTTTTGTATACATCAACAACAAATCCAGCGTAATGCACAAGTGGAGTTTGGAGGTGGTGTGTACGCAATCTTACCCCTACTTTATACTGAAGATAGAGAAATTATTTCTGATAAGCTCTCGATTCAAGTAAGACATAATAAAAAACAAGTATGGAAAATACAAAAGAAGAAGAGGTGATCATGCACATCATATCTTGAGGAATTAAGGAATTGTGTCATGTCAAGAAAGGAAAGAGGACAAGACCAAGCAAAAGAACAAAAAAAGAAGTCAATTCTCATTGTCTTTGGACAAATTCCCAATGGTTTTGTGTGTTGGAATCCACTTAACTATAATCCTAAGTCAAAACAAATACTCAATGTTTTATGATCAATTTGGGAAAATCCCACTTAAGGTAAGAAATTTTTTGAACATCATGACCACAAATGGGACACAAAAGCCAAAAGCTTAGAGAAGTTAGATTGGATTCTTGACATTTTTCAGAGCAAATAGCCAAATATGCCACAATAAGAACAATTGGATTGTACTAATCAAGAGGGCAAAATGGTCATATTATTAGCACCAATGACTCTGAAATCTCATGTTCAACTTTAACAGAAAACCAAAAAACAGCCTGTAGTCTTGCCATTACCATATGGCATAACAGAAATCTTTTGCCAAACTATATACTTGAAGAATTGCTTTAAAATGAAATCTTCTCTTCGATAGGGCGCTAGAATCCCCATACTGGGCTTCTCTGGCACAATCAGGCCAGTGGATTAGAAACATCGGAGTTTCCCTGAAAAGAAAAAGAAGAAATAATTGCAATCTGGAGAAAAATAGCGCGAAGTCTGAGCTGTACATCCACATCAAGGAAGGAGAACGGAAGGTTCTCGTGAAAAGATCAAACTTAAAATTCTTGAACTTTACACCAGCTATACTCGTTTACAACAATTGAGGAAGATTTTCCAACATCATGCTCCAAGCATTCAAGCAACCGAATGAATTAACAGTACAATTTCATCAACATGAGCAACACGGCTAAAAAGTAGAGTAAACAAAGACTATGGACCCTTACTACGAACAATGCAAAAACAGCCTTGTATAACTTGGTCTTCGGGTATCATTCCTCCTCCTTTGTTTGTGTCAATGGCTTCCAACATTTTCACTACCTCATCCATTTCAGGTCGTTTGTCTGGATTTGCGTCCCAGCATTTCTTCATGATATTTGATACAGAGCTTGGACAACATTTTGGGATACTTGGTCGCAAATTCTGCAAGATGGTTATAACATGTGAATAATTTAAGCAGCAAGTGTGTTTTTCACACATTTAAGAAAAACAGAAAGATAACAGACCAGTATTAACTCAAGATATGACTTATGACTATGTTGCTCGGACTCTTCAAAAATGTCGACAGATGTGCGTCGGATACTCCAAAAATAGTGCATTTTGAAAGATCCAACACAGTTGCAACAACAATTTGGAGAGTTCGAGCAACACAACATATGAGCAATGAGTCGAGAAAGGTAAGCATGCCCTCTAATACTGAAGTGCATGAGCACTCAAAGGTATATAGTATATAGTATCCAAGCTATTTTGTGTGCATGACATAGGCAACAATATTGGAGAGACAGAGCAACATAAGAAAAGATATTGTGTTACTATGTTTTTACTAGTAAATCAGAGGACAAACCTGTCTAACAACGGCAGAAGAGACTTCAGCGAAGCTTAGATCTAGATATGGGAGATCACAGCAATAAATTTCCCATAAGCAAATACCAAAGCTATATACATCACATTTTCTGTTGTAGGGCTTGCCATCAAGTACCTGCACAATGCATGTGATTAAATCCTTTGTACATGATAGAGAAAAAGTAGGTTTGATGTGACGTAGAAATAATATTAACACAAAAGTAAGAAGAATTTTCTTAAAAGATATAGGGAGAGGATAGACAAGTGACAATATCAGCTGACATAATATATCTCAGACGGGCAAAGCCAACCCAAACAACTCTCATAAAAGTGGGAATACCTCTGGGGCCATGTAGCCAAGGGTTCCAGTTTCCCCGGTCATGTCTTTGGGATTTTGTGCTTCAACACGAGCAACTCCAAAATCAGCAATTTTTAAATTTCTACTAGTGTCTAACAACATGTTTTCAGCTTTCACATCACGATGTACAATCTTTTTTGAGTGCAAATAGCTCAGCCTGCACAATTGGAAGAAGAAAATAAGCATCATTGGGTATAATTATCAAGAAAACAATGTTGGAAAAAGACGTACCCTCTGGCCAAATCAAGAGCAAGCTGATGGACAATCTTAAAGGCAAGCTTCTTCTTCCTGTTTTTGTACAAGTAGTTTTTCAATGTTCCGCCATGGAGAAATTCCACAAGAACACAACAAGCTCGAGAAGGAAGGGTAGTGTAACCATCAGAAGGATTCTTCGAAGGAATCTTAAGATTTGAAGTACCCATAGAAGCACCAACGAACTGAAAGCAGCAAACACAATCAAATGGAAATTCAGAACATTGAGTTAAATAATTGGATCCTACATACCAAATCTAAAATTGTCAAAGCTTGCTTTAAGCTGCATGGCAATAACTCAATAGAAATATTCATAATTAAAAGCTGAAAAGTGAGGAACCAATTTAGGAAAAAGATTAAGTACTCTGGTAACATTCGGATTGTCAAGTTTGTGCCAAACAGCAACCTCCTGCCGAAATGATGCCCGCAGAGAAGCAGTTTCAGCAGCTGTGGCCATGCCATCCTCTCCCCAGTCCAACAGTTTCACTACACAAATAACATTCCATAAGAAACTCTTACCGGTGGTTGGTAAAATTCCTGAAAAACTTTGAGAATACTGTTGATTATTTTCATTAATTGGCAGAAGTTCTTTTTCATATATACTTTATCCAACATACTGTTACAAATTCTGTGGAGTTCATTGGCTCAAGTTAGTCTAATCATGACACTTTGAAGTGAATAACGTAACGTCATGCCCAAATGTCCTCTTCATGTATCCACACATTTCTATATCTTTGGAACAAAGTTCGTTTCCAGCATCAAGATTTCCGTTATCCACAAGGATGTTTAAATTATGATTTTACTTTTCAAATTTGCAGCATATAGCTATAAGACAGAATATATTGCACAAACTCGATATTTTTTACTCTTTTGGGGGTGGAAGGGGGGGACAGGGGGAAGGAAGAAAGCTGACTCATTTTAACCATGAATAAGTAGAATTGGTTCATTGAAACACTGAAATAAATACCTTTGGAAATGCACATATTTCAGTTAGAACTCTCTGTGGTAAATTGAAATACATAATTTACAGTCAGTAAAATGTTTAATAGTTCCGCTCTACAGAAGTGCTGTTAATTTCACTGCAAACACAGCTTCTTTGAAGATTTTGCTGCGTAAGTGGAAAATACTGGACTAAATAGCTAACAACAACAACAACTAAGTCCCAAAAAATTACTGGCCTAAATAGCTTAATTGAGAAAAATGTTCCCTGACAAAATCCTAGAAATCTTGACACATTTAGAAAACTTTTAGCAGGTATGTCGGCCCTTCAGCAGACCACTATTTACGCGTATATTTTCAGCTTGGACTTTGGTGAAGAAATTTGACCTTGAGGTATAGGCCTTTCAGCAGACCATTATGGAATGAATTAAGATTTTTACTTCTGTGTCTTTTTTTTATTTTTATGATAACCGTATGGTCAGGGCCAGCTTTCACACACCTCGACTAATTCCACGAGATACCTATCACCACCCACCAACAATAGGCACCAGGTAACTCTATCCCCCATGTTCAAGACAGATGGGAAGGAATCACTGGGATTTGAACATGAGACCTCATGGTTCTCAACACAGTGTCTTTTCTTCTCACTATTAAATGTTTATGCATGATGTGAACAAGGAACATAATCTCACCAAGTTGAGCCACTCTCTGCAGTAAATTTTATCCAAGCACCCTCAAGCAACCACATAAGAAGAGAGGATAGAAAGAACCTTTATTTTTATTGTTGAGAAGAGAATAAAAGGAATTTTCATTGTCAACCCTATAAATCTTATCAGAAAAATAGTGTTTTAGGTAATTATAATATAAAACAATAATCATTTAGGGCAAACTGCAATGCCAACAGTACAGTTCAGTGCTTCAAATCCTGGTAGTGAATATCAATAAATTCAATGCAAACAAGTTAATTTACAAAAAAAAACAGCTTTTTTACGGTATTACTTGTGCAGGCAATTTAATATAGCCATTCACTATCTGATAAACAGAGAAAAATTAGTGGACTTGGACTTAATTTTCTAGACAACCAAATTAGTTACATAAAGGTTAAAAATGGATATCATCAATAGCCATATCAAAGTTCACAGAACTCGCTTCCACTACAGTCCAATTACAATCGATATCCAGCTCAACTTATTTCATCAATATCACAATGAATCTTGTTTCTAGTTTCTTTTACTTGTTTGTGTATTAAAGGGAATGAATAGTATCAAAATATAAACAACAATATCTAGTTATCTAGATAAAACTGAAAAACAAGGACTACTTTATAGGCTAAAATATGGGGCACATGAACCCGTGATCTTTCTATAAAACTAGGCATTTCTGGTATAATATTATGCACCCACGCTACAAGAAGGCTAAATGTTGCACTCGGTTGAATGTTTGCATTATTTAACTACAGATCAAGTCCCAAAAATCACAATACAACATGTAGCAACCAAGATCATAAAAACAAACATAGAATCTAATGTTACCTGCAACATCTTGATTGTCATAGGTACCGCGATAAACGGTACCATAGGTACCCTTAGCTACAAGATACTTAATTTCCAACTTTAAAGGATCAATCTCCCATACTTCCTTAGGCCTATGCTGATTTTGTTTCTCTAAATTGTTCGACCAAACTCGACTCATATGCTTTTCCAATTGAACATCCAAGCTTTTCAGATCAATTTTATCAGCCCTGAATATCATATCTTTGCTACTAATGCTTCGAAGACTCTTCGATTCCATATTGTTATTACTAACAGTACCTACCCCTTCCAATTTAGACCCTTCTTCAACTTTCTCCTTACTATTCAAATCCATATTAACAATACCAACAAAGCTTCAAACTTTTAGCAGATTTCTGATCTGAAAACCAAAAAAAAAAAAAGTTCATATCAGAAAACAAATCAATACAAAATAAGGATATCTTTCATTTTCATTTTCATTTCAATAAACTAATGAACATGAAAAATATAAAACTCACACCTTCCCAAAAAACCCAAATTTCAATTCCAACTATGATTCTTTTTTTCCAAATTTGACAAATAAATAATACAAATTACTAAAAAAAGGGCAAGAAAAATTCAAACCAAATAAAAAGAAACTGACTTTTAGGATCTGTTCAAAGACGCAACCTTTTTCTCATCACCAACCAATCCATTGACACATAAATGAAAACCAATTAAATTAAAAAAGAAAAAAAAAGTAAACCCTTAGAAAACGACCTTAAATTCCCCAGACAACGACCACAATAAAAAAAAATAAAAAAAATATTTAAAAATTTTGAAGGGAAAAAGAATAATACCCACAATCTGAAATCAAAAACCTATATGCAGAAAAAGAAGATTTTGCCATAAACATTTACAGACGCAAAGTTTGACCTAAATCTTCTTTTTCTGCTTTGATTTTTCTTGTGAGAAAAAGTCAGAAAATTTCAGAGAAAAAAAGGAAAAATGTTAATGGGGGAGAAAAATACGCCTAAAAAAAGGTTTAATTATTTTTATTTACCATTAATAATGTTTATTTTTTCTTCATAAAAGCATAAGATACTCCCTACCAAACAAACAAAGAGAATAATTGTACTATTTTCCGTGCAAATCCTTTCAACTAAATTACCTGTAAAACATAAATTCATTCATTTATATAGAAACAACATGTGAATTGACCAAAATGTCCTTGGTTTTGGTATTATATATTTATTTATTTTACAAATCCCCTCTCATATTAGGAGTGACACCCAGAATACGAGTTGAATTTAATTGAAATTATAATACAAGTATTAAATATCGAGTGGACAAAAAAAAAAGGAAATAAAAAAATTACTCCTCTCTAATTTACTTTATGGGTGTGTTTGGGGTAAGAAGAAAAATATTGTTTTTTAGGTGAATAAGTGATTTTTTTTTCTTTATTTGTGGTAAATAAATAATATTATTATAAATATATTTGTATATAATATGGTCGGGTGGTGGAGATGGGAGCTATGGGGTGAGTGAATATGAGGTGTGTTGGAGTGGCAGTATACATTAATATGAAATGTCAATTGTTGAATTTGTTTTTATTTATTTCTAATAAAGAAAATTCATTTTTTACATTTTTTTAAAACTTATTTTTCTAAGAAAAAAAAAATTTCAAGGATTTTGATCAATTGAATATGATTTAAAAAATAAAATTGAATGCATATTGTGTTTCTTAATTTGGTTGGACAAATTCTTTTAATATGATCTATGAAGAAAAAAAAATCATTTTCAAGGATTTTGATCAATTGAATATGATTTAAAAAAATAAATTGAATGCATATTGTGTTTCTTAATTTGGTTGGACAAATTTTTTTAATATAATCTATGAATGAATTTTGAATTTTATGATCTTAAATGAAGTATATATGTATAATGCATTAAAATGTCATTTAAGTATTGTGATCTTAAGCATCTCAAGTGAATATTGAAAATTAAAATATTATGTATTTTTTAAAAGTGACATTCTTTTACTTTTCTTTTTATGTGGGTGAGTAAATAAGTGATTCTCGATTTTGTTTTTTTGTTTGCTTCGTCTATATTTGATTGTTTTTTTTCTATTTTTCGAATGTATTGCCTCGACTATGTTTCAGAGTAATCTAGACATATTTGTTTTTTCCTTTAACTTTTGGAGTAGGGAAATTATTTAATAAAAATACTATTTAATATTTTTTATCATTCTTGGATTTTTCTCAATTAATATGTGCTTCTAATAAATTATTGAATCGAAGTAATATGTTATATATCTTTTTGCCAATAATAGAAAAGGTTCAATTCCCTTTATACGTAGCGTAACAAGAAAAAAAATTTAACAAAATGTGTAGAAAATGTAACAGATTTTAAAGTTGGATAAGATCTAAGTTTCCTTAACTAGAAAAGAAACACTAGAATGGAATATAAATTAGAATTGTTTGAAAAAAGTAATATTTTATATTTGATGAGTATTAAAAAATATATTAGTTTTCTCTATATGAAATGATAAGATCTATTAAATATAATCAAATCTTAATATAACAATCATTTGTAATTATAATGGCTTGATATTTTTAAAAATCAATTTTTTATATTATATTATATTTTTCTATAATAATATTCTAACAACAACGATATTCATTATAGTGATACATTCTTTGTTAAATTATTTCTATATAACAACTCTACTGAAATATTATGTTTGAATATTGCATAACAATCAAATAGTGAAATATTTATGACAATCCATTAATGCTATGTATATAGTAATTTTCATGTTTATATATACATATAAAAGGAAAACAATTGACTTTAACTAGTGTGCATCATCAGTTGTTATCACAACTTCACGAGAAAAAATTACTCATGTTTTACATTATTTACATTCATATAATCATATTCTTTCTATTTTTTTATTAAATTGATTAACAAATATATTTCTTCTTCTTGGTATACAAAATTATAAAACTATTTTTATGTACTTTATATTTATAGGAAAAATTACCTAATACACATATTACTTTATCATAATCTCTAAAATTTCCTACCATTTAAAAAAAATTCAAAAATCTCCTCTTGGGTATATCACTCTCCTCTCGCTGATACATCCTATCTCCCTTAGATACATCCCTCCCCTCTCTAAATACATCACTCACCTATGTATCCAGATGGCTGCTGATGTATCCGGAAATCCGGTGATGTATCTGGATGTCTTATCCCCTCTCTGATACATCCCTCTCCTCTAGGATACATCCCTCACCTATGTATCCGGATATCCAATGATGTATGCGGAAGTCCAGTGATGTATCCGAAATCCATAAATTTTAAGGATTTTTGTAATTTGAAAAGCTAAGAGTAAATTTTAGGTTTAGCAAACATAAAAATCATATTTGTATGCTATAGCTATAGTTTGTGTAATTGCGCTCCATAGCAAACTTTATGTTTGCCATGTTGCATCAGATTTGTATAAATCATTGGCAGCCTCTCATTTGTATAAATCGTTGGCAACCTCTCATTTGTATAAATCGCTGGCAACCTTTCGTTTATATAAATAGTTGGCAGCCCTTCAATTCAATTTTAATATGTGTTTGTATATCTGCATAAAATTTGAATTTGTATACAATTGAATCGAAATAAAACGTTTGTATATCAAATTTCTCTCTCTCGCTTGCTTTATACAACACAAATTATACATTGTAATTTGTATAATTTGTGTTTGAATCAAAATTGAAAGGATCTTCAATGAACTAGGAGAAGAATTTTGAATCGCAAAATTTTTGAATTTTTTAATCGAAATTGAAAGAATCTTCGATGAACTGGGAAAATTATTTTGAAACTCAAATTTTTTGACAATCTTGAATCAAAATTGAAAGGATCTTCAATGAACTTGAAGATTCACAAAAGAAATCTTTTGTCCAACAACAATTTCATCACTTTTGTATTCTTCATAACTCATCATGATTACCCAAAATTTCGACAAATTTTTTTGAATCAAATCTGAAAGGTTACTTCGCTGAACAGGGGAAAGCAATTTTAAATTTTAAATTTCTTCATCCTTTTAGGATTTGCCTTTATATATCAAAAGTAAGAAGAAACATAAGCGTCATTTATGGGATTTAATTAGATTTTCAATTTTTATTCCCTATTTTAGTGTAACAGATTGATACTTCTTGTATCATAATTAATGTATTCGAATGGTGACTTATGTATCCGAAGATACAAATTTTAAGGAATTATTATAATTTTTAAAAAAATAGGAATAAGATGTAATTTACTCCTTACAGTATGGAATTTATGTAAGTTATACTTAGGGGTGTGCAAAACCGAACCGACCGATAAACCAAACCGAAAAAAGTGTTATTGGTTTATTATTATTGGTTATTGGGATAACGGTTATTTAATGGTTTTACAAAAAAAATTATTGGGTTATCGGTTCGTTATTGATTTTTAATATTGGATTAACCGATAACCCATTAAGAATATAATAATTTACTATTTTAATTTTTAGTTATACATAAATATAATATATTAAAAAAATATTAATATAATTAGTAGTATATTAGACTAAAAATATAAAACCCTACGCAATAATTAACACTACTTAACAATTAACTCTCCTCTCTACTTTTAGTTATTTAACCTATAGGTTTTACTTTTTAGTATTACTTATTTACTTTAGTTAGTTTATAATTGACTAATATTAGCTTTTGCACGATTGTAAATATCTGCAATTTGATTAACGTCAGGAATTCAAATTGTGTGTGTGTGTTTTTTTTTTAAATAACGTAAGAACTTCATTTAGTTACCATAAGCATGGCCTCATTTGCTACTATTTTGACTTTGCTTATGATTTGATTTTATTTGATTCTCTTTATTGCATAAAGGGGACCTCGTTTTATATATATTATGGTGATCGAAAATTAACCAAGTCTTTGTTGTGATGACCAAAATACAACAAGTTGGTCCTTGTTGTCCCGTTTGGAATGATTATTTCGATGTATGCGTATCGCGTCAAATTATTGGATAAGTCATATATTTGTTTTGAAAGCATTTTCTTATTGGTTAAACCGAAAACCGAACCGTTAAAGACCTAAAACCAATAAACCGAAAACCGATAACAAATATCTTATTGGTTTGGTTATCGGTTTAGCATATTTAAAAACCGAAAACCGATAAACCGAACCAATAATACTTATAACCGAACCGAACCGACCGATACACACCCCTAGTTATACTTAATTAATGGCTAGAATTTAATTAACTAAAGTGTAACCTAACCATAGTTAATTTATATAAATAAATGTGTTCTTATCAATTTAAAAACTACCATTTATTTCATCTCTTTTCTCCCTCCTTGCGCCCAAAAAAAATTGTTGTAATTTTTTTTTTTTGACAACAACCAATAGAATGAAAGCAGAGTAAAATATTCAAATTTTTATCAGAGGAATTCAATTTTCTAAATTGGTTTCAGTTCAGAAAATCAATTATCTCAATTGGAATTGGAAGATAGACACTTGGTAGGGGGGAAAAAAGATAGGAAGAGAATTTTATTTAAATACATTTATGGACAAGATATATGTTGCTATAATTATGGGATTACTAAAGTTTTTTCAAGCAAATTAATACACAAAATATTAATTATCTAAATCGTGAATTTTTTTTTGGCCAACCAGACCCAAAAGGTCAGATTTATAAATCAACCAAATATTTACATGAATGTTCAAGTCAAAAGTGCTAAACTCAATTAAAGAAATCATCTAAAAAAAACTAACTAAAACAAAATCAAAAAGAGGAAAACTTGGGGAAAATGGAAAGAAGAGAATGGAGAGGAGCCAAATTAGATAAAAAAATTAAAAAAAAATGAAATTTGTATATTTTAGTATTTCACCAGTTACTTATTTAGTAGAATAAATTTTTTAATTAAATTTCAATATTCAAAATAAAGAATGATTTTTAGCATAAAAGAACTCTTTTAGATTAATTATTATCTTTATTTGGGCTACTTTAGTTGTTTAAAGATATTTCTTATTTGTTACCTTGAATTTCTTAAAGTCGATATCCACAAAGAACATTAGCAAATTTGATCAACATTTTTATCCTATAAAGTACAAACAAAAAATGTTGTCTCAGAGAACATGAGATAAACTAAAAAGCATTCATAAGATAATCATTTTTCAAAACATACATGTAAGGAAACGAAAAAGTAAAAGTAAGTAGGAAACTAAAAGGAAGGTAGAAATAATCTATACTTAAATCCTGATCGGCCATGAAAACCAAAAAGAGAATAAAAAATAGTTGAACCATTCAGAGGATTTACTACACATAGGAACTTCCATCAACTGATCAATGGTTACTTTCGTTGATGTTGCAACAGTATGGTACCAAGAGACCCGTTTCAGCCACTGTTTCACCAATCTGAATAAAACAGTGCGTTCAAGGATTTCTCTCTCACCATCAAACACCAACTCATTTGGAAAGAGTCATATCTCCTTAGGTGTTAATTCCTTCCGGAGATAATCTATTATATTTCCCATGCTCCTTCTAATTTCTTTCTATTCTTATACTCGAAGAGAGGACTTCTTATATACAGGGAGAGTAGTCAGGTGGTGGAGAAGAACGTGACATAAGCGATAAAACTAGATCACGTTTTCTGCATGTCCTCTTTTGGATGATTCTATGGAACATAATCATTGTCATATCACGAGGAAAATAAGAGCTACAATGTACGAATTTGCTATTTTTATTTTTTCTATCAAATATTGCAAAATGTGCATTAAAGCATCAAATTAGTATTCACAAATCAAGTTATCAACTTCTTGAATTAAGTTTTATTATTTTATTTTATTTTAGTTTTAGTTTTAGTTTTCATTTAAGACTTATTTATTTTAATATTTTATTCCACAATATATGCATTATTTTTTAACTATATATTACAATATAAAATATTCAACCACATAAAATGAATTCGATCATTTAAAAAAAAAAAATTTTAACACAATCTCAAAAAGAAGCACTTGAGAAAGTTGATGACATCTACAACAATCACGACTTGTATTATCGGTCGTGATTTGTTGGGAATCCTCACAAGTCACAAGATGGATGAATTCGCATGTTTTCATGTTTTGTGTCACGCCCCGAGCCTACATCTTGGATGTGACCGGCATTCGAGAACCATTGCTAGCCACAAGCGAACCCTTGGCATGGCTCAATACTCAGGGAAAGACTTACTCAACAATATATGAACTCAATTGCAAAGATTTAACTCAACTGTCTCAAATAAATAACTCAGAATATATAAGAATATTCAACTAGCCAGAAATAGGCTACTCAAGTCTTTTAAAACGTTAAACAAAGAAATGGAAAAGACTCCTCAAAACACTATTATCTATCTATGAAACCTCTAAATAACAAATATGGAAGTCGAGACAAGACCCACAAATGGAATCCTTCGGAAGCAAGGAGGCTCACCAAACCTAACTCGAACTGCAAGTGGTATCAACGAAGTGCCTGTTGATGACCCTGGTTACTTGTATCTGCATCATGAAATATGCAGGTCAAATGGCATTAGTACATGGAATGTACAAGCATGCAAGGGGAACTCTAAAGCACAGACATAAGCTTGAACTAATAAAAAGGAAAAAACATGCTCACCTCATCTCAACTCAACTCAAAGATAGTCAAGGATACTCAAACTCAGAAGTACTCAACTCAGTTCAATATAAAAGCAACAATAAATATGCATTATAAAGAAAGCTTTTAAAATAGTAGATAATAACTCAATGTATTTAAAAATACAATAATAACTCTTTTACTTTTATTTGGGAGATTTTCTAACTGACAACCATCACTATGAGCTATGTGATGATACAACGTCTCGCCCACGTTGTCAGAACTGTCATATACCTTGCCGGAGTATAAGACATCCTCAACTAAATGAATCCACTAAGCTATGCTAAAAAATCAATAAAGAATCATCTAAAAAATATGACCCTTTCTGCCTACATATTTATGAGGACTTTGAGTTGTCTGAACTTGTCCCCATATCGGTGCTCAATACTACTTCAAATAATATAACTCATGTTCATATGCTTAAAAACATTTTCTCATCCTCAAACTTTGATATTATTACTCAAAAGGGTTCTCTTAAAAAGATAGTACTCAAAACTCCTCATGAACTCATTTGGAAATTGATGTTTCCTCTCATTTTAAATGTAAAACAATTGCTCTTAGGAATACTTAGTTCTCATATATTTATTTTGAAAATGAAACTCAACTCTCCTCATCCTCATCCTCATACTCAAGTACTCAAGTCTTAAAACAAGTTTTAAAAGTTTGTAAAAGACTTCTCAAAATAACTCAAAAGACTCTCTCAAACTCGACTCTTTATCTTTTATTGAATTTGAATTATGAATTTAATAGCTACGATTCATGATATGAAGGACCTCGTGATGATTAAATGTAGTTTAGATAGTTAGGATTAAGAAAGGAATGAAAGCTCAACTCGAAGGGACAAGTACGAATCGATGAACGAAGAAGAAGGTGGCCTGACGCTCTGGGTGCAGGGGTAGCGCAACGCGCCAGGCCTCCAACTACTGGGGTCGATTCTGCCGCCCCACGCCAGCCCTCCTGGCGCATCTGGGGCGCGGCCCCCCAGCCCCTTTCCAGAACGATCTAACAAATTTTCTTCTTGTTTTCTGACCCTAATTTGCCTAAAATCGATTATTTTCCTCAAATTTTTCCTTAGATTCAATTACTCAATACAAGTACACGAGAATCTACTCACTTTTCCTCAACAATTAACAACCCTCAAAAATCGAAATCCTCACCTCAAGAATTCATCAACTCCATAAACAAGCATGAAGAATAAAACCTCAAGAACACCCATCAAGAATTCAAATCATTCAACCTCAAGAACGAAATTACGGATGGAATTCACATGATTGGCGTGTGGGTGAACGAACCCAACACTATGAAAACTTATATACCTTAATTAGGCAAAACAAATCCTCGATTCGCAAGAAAATGTCATCTCTAAGAGAAGAGGAGATAAACTCAAAAGCATTGATCATAAGATAATCATTTTTCAAAACGTACATAGTTTTGTCTTAGGGAAGATGATACTAATACTGATGGGGATTACATTTAGAAAGAAACTAGAAATTCAAGATTCTAGACCAAGTCCATATATAAGATGGATTGGTATTTGTAGCATAATCTATTTGGATGGATCCTTCAACTCTGGGAAAATTGCATCAATATAAACATGATACATGGGATCACCATGCCAGAGCCTAGTAATGAAAAAAGGAGATGTAGTATTCCTATGCATTTCTTCTATAAGCCAAATGTTTGCTTCAGCTTTGGCTGGATCGATGAGTGTATCCAATGGAACGTCTTCATCATTGGCCACAACCCTCAAATAATCCCACTGCTTCATTGACAGGTTGGTCAGGTAGTGCAATGGTTGCCCATATAACTCCTTCATTGATGCAGCCAACCCTATCCAGGAGTTACAAGGAATCATAGAGGACTTCCTTGTGGGGAGGGGAACCATCTGCATGTACTCTTGGTACATTCTTGCTTTTCTGAGTATAACATCTGCATTATAAAGCCCACATGTAAGGAAACGAAAAAGTAAAAGTAAGTAGGAAACTAAAAGGAAGGTAGAAATAATCTATACTTAAATCCTGATCGGCCATGGAAAACAAAAAGAGAATAAAAAACAGTTGAACCATTCAGAGAAGCTTTGCTCCTTCTTATTTCTTTCTATTCTTACACTCAAAGAGAGGACTTCTTATATATAGGGAGAGTAGTCAGGTGGTGGAGAATAACGTGACATAAGCGATAAAACTAGATCACGTTTTCTATATGTCCTCTTTTGGATGATTCTATAGAACATAATCATTGTCATATCACGAGGAAAATAAGAGATACAGTGTACGAATTTGCTATTTTTATTTTTTTCGATCAAATATTATAAAATGTGTGTTAAAGCATCAAATAAGTATTCTCAAATCAAGTTATCAACTTCTTGAATTAAAGTTTTATTATTTTATTTTTTAAAGTTTTAGTTTTCATTTAAAACTTATTTATTTTACGGAGAAGGGCCTAAAATACCCTTAAACTATTGGAATTGGTACAAAAATACCCTTCGTTAACCTATTGACCACGAAATGATACTTGGATAGTATTTTATAAGCTTAAATTATTTGTTACTAATATAATTAATGATAATAACATTATTACCTGAAACTAAAAGCTTTATGTTTATAATTATACTCTACAATAAATAACAAGTTAAGTGTAGAAAAAAATAAAAATATATGTGTTTTATTAAAATTCTACTTTAAACTTTTGAACTAGACGGAAAAATAACAATAAAGTGGACGGATAATATTAAGAAGATTGAGAGAGATAAATCTTTATCAAAATTAGAGCGTAGGGAAGATATGTATTTTCACAAGTTAGTCCAAAATGGAAAAAATTATAATACGAGATAATTATTCAAAATATTATCCGTATAAAATATAATTAATTTTTTTAAATTATTTGGTGGAATAAAATTTCCTTGACTATATGACCAAATGTTCTTAATCCCGCCTTTCTTTTTGAAAACTGAAACAATCATAATCTTTTTATTCTTAGGTGGCCAATTGGTCTGGTGGTACCCTTGTACTTGTATATGTTTGTATTGTGAACCCTTCTACTTACCATTTTGTCATTTGAACCCTTGAACCCATCCAAACCCAATATTTTAAACACTTTTTTTTATGTGGCATCCTATGTGTAAAGACTCCACATGGAGCGTGTGATACACACAAAGTAAGAGCGTGAGACGCCTTAAAAAGGCACTAACGATCAGATTTTGACCTTTAAAGGCCATCTCTTCTTCTTTATTTTCACTCAACACCATTGTTGGACAAATTTGAGTTTTTTCCTCCTCTTTTTTTCGATTTTGTCTCTTCAAATTTTTTCTCTTTTATTTTTGGCGCCTTTATTTTTTCCTTCGATCTACTCATCTTTTTTTTTTGTGTGATTCTATTGTATTTTTGTTGGTCTTCACGATGACGGTTCGATGTTGCTACTGTGGAATATATGCTCAACTAAAGACATCAAGACCACCAACTAATCCTGGAAGAATGTTTTGGGGTTGCCAAAAATATTCATCCGGTAATGGGTATGGATTCTTCCGATGGGCTGATGCAAGTGATACAACATGCCAAGAACAATACAACATTAAGAATCCATCAACGAGTTCACGGCAAGGAAGACAAGCAAGATATAGAAGACAAGGAAGGCAAAGAAGGCAAGGAAGACAAGGATCAAACACTAGTATTGATATCACTGTTATTGTGATTGTTGTTATTTGGTTTCTAGCCGTTATTTTTAAGATATATTGATTTGTACTAGGTGTTATTTGATAATGAAATGGATTGTATTTGCTTCAGAAATCTGAATGCAACTTTATTCAAACACAAATTCATACACAAAAACCAAGTCTTCCCAATAGCAACTTAACACAAATTCATATATGCGCCATTCATATACAAAAACAAAGTCTTCCTAATAGCAGAACCAAAACAGTTGGGATCAAGTCATTAATCAAATTAAAGTTAGTTGGGATCAAGCCATTAAGCTAAATCAAGTGAAATCTAATGTGTGCCTTGAGTGTTTAGTGTGCCTTGAGTGTTTTGAGTGCTTCTGTAACTCTCCTCTCGTAGCTGCCTTTGAGTAATTGCAGCTCTTCCCTTCCACCTTAGTCCATTGGGTTTGTAACCAAGATCAATATTGGTAGGAGTTGAACTAGACAATGTAGCACTATGTAATACCCTATCAGTATTTTCAGACTGAGAGAACAACAAAAATCTTAACTTAAAGATGAACTAATATCAATTAAAGCAATTTAATGCGTTTAAATGATAAAATACATACCCTCTCAGTTACACTGCCACCTGATCCAAATAAGAGACCATAACTAGCTGTCTTTGTTTTTTTTTGTCTTGGTTTCTTATATGCAAGAGTTGCACCACCTCTCAAAGTTGTGCTAGTCTTTCTTTTTTGGCCAGCTGCACTAGAAATTGATTGTTGAGTACTTAATTGTCTCACATCACTTGATGTAGTACTGGTAGGCCTTCCACCAGATGCCAAGGTAGTTACAGGCCTCACACCACTTGATGAAGCATTTGTAGGCCTTCTAGCACTAATTAGACTTGCACTTGGAGTGCAACTTGCACTTGGATCTGCACTTGGAGTTCAACCTACACTTGGATCTGCATTTACACTTGACTGGCTTCCAGCAGTTGCAGCACTTGTTCCAGCAGCAACATTTTTCTACAAACATATATTAAAGTCAAAAGTACAACAAGCATAAAATTCAGTAACAAAGTGACATTAAAGCACAACTTACCAGAGTTGGATATCCTTTCTTGTTATGTCCAAAAGTCTTACACACAGAACATTTTATTTTTCTTCCCTTCCTTGTAGCCTTTCCAAACTTCTTCTTATCCAGCTCATCACTATCTTTTCTCCTGTTTTTTCCTGGTCTTCCTGGCATGGCTGTAATTTCAGGTGGTTCAATAGCTGGTCTATCACTTTTTGGTCATATCTTCATATTTGTCATAGGTTGAATAAACCTATTATATGTTTTCATGTATGTTTCCTTCTTATACCAGTGATCAACAAATGTATCAACAACCCAATCCTTATAATGAATTGCTGAAAGTGCATGGCCACAAGGAATTCCCTTTAATTGTCATGAACTACAACTATATACCTTCTTTTTTAGGTCAACAACATGTTTATATGGTGGATCATAGATCTCAAAGCCAAAAACACCATTAAACTTTACCTCATAATTATCTGCAATATCAGCATTTTTTCTAAGAGTATCCATAGCCATTGGTGATATATCAGTAATCCATTTTTCTAAAAATTATCTCATTTGATTCATTATTTCCATAACTTTGACTCTTATTTCCTCTAGCATAGTGATTATTGATTTGAACCTAGCACCTAAAATCCAACTGTTGAAAGTCTCACACATGTTGTTCCCAACCACATCACACTTGCTATGTTCTTTAAAATATGCCCTACACCATGCTTCTTTGTTATACTTTAACAAAGTTTTCACAATGCCTACTCCTAACTCACTCAAGTCATCAAGTTTGGACTATAAAAGTACCACAAATGATTCCCTAGCAACCTGGCAGAATTTTCTTCTCCTTTCTTCACCCCTCTAGTCTTTCTTCTAGTTTGCCCATATATGCCTAGCACACCATCTAATTTCAGCATTTGGCAATACATCAATAAGTGCAAGATGAAGACGTTGTCAAACACAGAATATTTGACATACAACAATGTTAAATATCAATTACTCCAAAAATGAAAAAATAAATTTAACAAATAATATAGTAATACCTTCTGCATATCAAACATCACTGTTAGTCCTTCACCTTCTATAAGCTCCAAATCATGTTTGATGCACTTGAGAAACTAAGACCATGTGTCCTTGGTTTCTTTATCAACTACTGCCCATGCTATAGGGTACATCTGATTATTTCCATCTTTGGAAATGCAAGATAACAGTTCACCTTTACATACACTTTTAAGAAATGCACCATCTAAATCAATAATCCTTCTACACCTTTCTTTACATCCACTTTTTAAGGAACCAAGACAAATATAGATGCTCATAAACACCTTTTTTCCTGGAGTTGTGTTCTTGGATGTCCTAATAGATACAGTAGTTCTAGGATTTGTGGTCTTTAATTGCTCAGCATAATCATACAACTTAGCAAACTCATCTCTAAAATCTCCCATATGTTCATTCATAACTCTCAGTTTTGCCTTTCTACAACTTGTCTTACTAACATACAAATCATACTGCTTTTGTATCAAAGATTGAATCTGATGTAGTTTTATGGTAGGCTGGCTCATAATTCTCTCCTTGTAATGTTTACTAATCCAAATGGGGGTACACAGTTTGTTTCTTTGTTCTTTTAAAACACTTATTGACAGGAAAATATGTTTTAACACTGAAGTTTTCGGTGTTACCATCAATACTTCCAAAAATATGCCAAGGACAACCCTTTTTATTACACTTTGCCTTTATCATTTCCTTCTCATTAGGTTTCAATTTAATATTAACACCCTTCTGAATAGAGTAAGTTTGCAGTGCCTCCCCGAACTCAATGTGATTCAAAAATACCATATACATTTGAAATAAAACCTTTTTAACTGTTGGATCAAAGTAGATCTTTGTACTTTCCTTCCTAGGTGCTGGATTTACCACTTCATCATTCTCAACAGGATCCCCTTCATCTTCATTAATGTCACTACCAGGATCTGAGCTATCAAAATAAGGGTCATCACCACCCAAATTGCCTTCAAATGTCCCCCTCATCTCCTTATAAATGTTTTCAAAACTAGTATTTATACCTACAGGACCAGATGGTATCTCATCTAGATTTACTCTATCAGTCTTCTCTTTAACTTGTTCTTGAATATTAGACTGCCTAGCTTGAAGTAGCTCCTCATCCAAATCACTCAAATCATCAATATTTTCAGCAACATCATAGAGTGAATCAGAATCAGAATGTTCTTCAACTCTAGGGGCAGGGGCTTGTTCTTCAACTAAAGGGGACTGCTCTTCAACTAAATGGGACTGATTTTGGTTTAAATCCCTACTTTTATTTTCATCAAATGGTTGAGATGAAGACACATCAGCCCTATCTATTTGTGGGGAAGATGACAAATCAGCCCTATTTTTGTGTGAGGAGGAGAACACATCAGCATTATTTTGTTGTGGAGATGATGACACATCAGCATTAGTGCTAGGCAATACAAATATCTCCTCAATAACTAAAGGTATACTAATGGGATGTACAACATATACATTAACAAAATCAGCACCCTTCAAACTATTAAGAAAGTTTAAAACATCAGAATCAGTATTTAACATGTAAAAAGTACCCTTCTTGTTGACTCTACATCCAAAAGTCTCAACATTTTCAACACTCAATTCCAATGTTATTTTATGAAACAACATAATATGCAACTCATCTACATCTATATTAATCTTTTCAACACTAGTGATTCCATTGGCATACCTTAAAGTAGGATCAGATACAAAACAGCCCCCATAGTGAAATTGAAGTGTCATTATAGTTAAAGTCATTACCTTACGATGCCTGTAAAGTAAAAAAAAACAACTACAGTTAAACCATAAACTTACCATGACTGTAACACAAAAAGCCCTAATTTTTTTAAGGAAATAATGAATTGTTGTAACAGTGGACCACTAACACTATCAATACCCAAGACAATTGACCAGAAATAAAATATTAATTTTACTCGAAATTGGGATTTTACGAATAAACCCTAGAATCTACTCGAATTCACGAAATATGCCATTGAAGTCACTCGAAGTCGTACATCAACTAAGAAAGCATATTACACGAACATTACACCCAAACCAAAGTAAAATCCCCAAAAAAATTCAGAAAATCGAATGACAATCGACCCTAAAATCAAACAGATACGCACAAGAAAATGAAAAAAATCAGAACTAACGCAAAAGGCAAGAACTTACAACAAAAATCGGAGTGGAACTGAGCTTCAACTGAGCAAAGGTTTGAAAAATCACAGACGAACATGTACGTGTTAGAGGAGAAGTGCAAAAGTCGAAGGTTTGGAAAATTTCGCCGGGTTTGACTATTCTTAGTTTGAGTCATTTGCCACGTGGAATATAATATCATACATGGATTAATTTTTTTTTTCTTTTTGGCCAATGTGTACGTGTTTGTGCAACACGCACCATACCACAACCAAAAAAGTGTTTAAAATGTTGGGTTTGGATGGGTTCAAGGGTCCATAATACAATCTTATACAAGTATAGGGGTCCACCAGACCATTTGGCCTTCTTAGATCATGTTTTAATCGTATAAGACTTGAATTTGGTTGATCAATTTCAACTTTTGTAATATTTCTTTGCGATGAAAATAAATGAGCTATGAAACAGGAACAAAATAAAATTCCCAGTTAATTCCTTAAAGGCTCAAAATATAATCCCTCAATCTTGCACCTTAATTCAAAACCTAACAAACTTGCTTAATCCCACAATCTTGGACCTTAATTCGAAACCCAATAACTCCTCACTTGATCAAAGAATTAACAATTTATGAAAGAATTAGGAAGAATCTAACTTCCACAAACTTTTACTTTTTATTCTTTAATGTTTACCTAATGTTTTATAGTAGTGGTCATGAATATATAAATAGGTGAAAAGGAAATCACAACTACCGGTTAATATTGAATTTGCTGTGGATTTTCCGGGAAACATGGAAGGACAACAATGAATTTTTCATATAAAATATGTTTAATAAGTGATTCAATTACTAGT